GGAATCACACATCTCACAGATTAAATGTGGACAGCCACGCACACCCTTTTCTAAAACAAGCAACAACAATAAATCCGAATAAGGAGAACGTGTCCTTGGCACCATTTTGTCCCACTGGAGCATGGTACAGGCTGAGATCAGACAGCCCTGTGACCTCTGACCCTCCTTGTCTGTACAATTTTGAGTCCCTTCGAAACTAACTTGTTTAATTTAGTTAATCCTGATTTAAAACCTTAACAGCATGGTGTGGTGCTTTTACCCAGGCTGAAAAGCAGCATTCCAGGAACCACGTAGTCTTAGGGCAGGGTCTGAATTAACTGCACCACGTGCCTGTCTGTTCTCCCTTCCCAGGTTGTGGGAAAGAAGGGAGACCCTCTGCCAGGGAGAGAATGTAGGGACTTAAACTTGGCATTTTCTAGTCCCATGAACATGATGATCAGTTAGCCACAGCAGCCTGAGAGAGACAAGGGGGAAAAAAGGAAATTAAAAGAGCTTCTATTTTTGTTTTGTTTTGCTTTTTCCTCCTCCCAGGAAGCCAGAGCACCATAGCCCCAAGGCAAGACAGATAAAGGACATTACCTGTTTTGTATTCAGAGTGCACATCACCAGTGTTACTTGTTGGTATGTTGGTGTCCCTTTGTGGGTGCCAGATGATACAGGGGAAACCAGGGTCCCCTCTTGAAATTTTTAGCTTCACAATAAAATAATGCCAGAATGGATTCAAATGGAAACTTAATGACAATTTTATTAGATTGCCTGCCAAAGCAGGCAAGCCATACATCTTAGCTATTGTTTGAGAAGAAGAATGGAAGAGAAGAGGGAGGGTGTGCCATTTAAGCTGCATGGGGGGCAGTCCCGTGGGGAAAGTGACTTTAGCTCTTTTTTGGGGGGTAGTGGGGGCCTCCTAGTCAGAGGGGATTAACAACCCAATTCTCTCTCCACTGGAGAGACCTCCCTCAGGGAAAATCAAGTCTGAAGTTACCCTCCTGGGGTGGAAAGAAAAGGAAGGTTTTGAAGTTAGCTCCCTTTCACAGTGGTTTTTGGTTCTCTCATTATCCTTCCAATTGTTAAGCAGGGGTTATCACAGGGAATCTTATTCCTCCTTTCCTTTTCCCAAGGGTTCTTTTTATTTTGCTTGTTTCCCACCCCAGCCTTCAGGCTTGAGAGTCCCTTAGAGCTGAATTCCTTTCCCTGGGGGGAGGGGGGTGGTTTCTTGCATTCCCAATCACCTACCAATTCCTTATTGGGTGTTCAATGCTTGACAGTTTGGTGTAAACCTCTGATTAGGTCTGAGGGACTGTTGCTGAGCTGTGTGAGGTCTGAACACCTGTAGAAGCTGAATCCTGCTGTACTCTTATTTTGTGTTCAGAGCATGTCTCATTCACTCTCACACAACCTCTAAAATATGTCCTGACCACCTCAAGGAAATACTTGGCCCATTTGGTCACTGAAGTGCTGGTCTGGGCTCTTCTTTGCATTTGCTAAGGAATTTCTCATCCTAAAGAGTTCACATGGGGCCTGGAGATATGGCTCAGTGGTTAGGAGCACTGACTTCTCTTTCAGAGGACTGGGTCCTATTGCCAGCACCCACATGACTGCAAACAATAATTTGTAACTCCAGTTGTAAGGGGATCCGATGCCCTCTTCTGGACTCACTGGTACACAAACATGCACGTAGACAAAACACCCTTACACATAAAAAATTAATAATTTAAAAAAAGTGACATTTGTTTGAGGCCCTGGCGGCAGGGCAGGGGTATATTACTGCAGAGGGACCATTGAATATGTTTCCTCCAAGGGATGGGATCTGAACACTTTCCCAGATGGATTTGAAATCCCAGACAAGCCATCCCGTCCAGACTCCAAATTGTTGGAAAAGAATATAGTAACTCAGCAAGGCCATTTATTTTTACCAAACCATGAGCATGCACACTGGATGGGAAGATCACTTAGTTTTTGTCCTAACACCCCATTGGTGGAAGCTGGACCTCACAATCTGATGTGATTGGCTAATCATAATGGGAGCAAAGGATGTTAGGTCTCAAAGAAACCTGGGACAAATGGCTAACTGAGGTGCGTGCCTATTTATCATATTAAAGTGGAGGCTGGCTGGCAGCCTCTCAGTCTCACCAATACATGTTACACACCCACCCCCTCCCTTGAGCCTCTCCAGCCCCTGAGCTGCCTGTCCCTTTCCCCAGCTTCTCTGATTCCTATATAACCTCGGCCACTTTGGTTACGGTCCTTCTGGTGCTCGTACTCTCTGGGTCCCCAGATACCTTCTTTGCTCCCTCTTTCTCCTCATCCTCTCTTGCTGCCCTACCCTACCTGTCCTCTCATGGCCCAGTTCAGGCTGGAGCCTTCCAGATGCCTCTGGCTTTTTTTTCCCCCTCATGTCTACAATAAACCTCCTCAACCTATACCCAGAAGCAGTCACGTCCTCATTTTTCTCGTTCAAAGGGGAAGTGTGATAGAGTCAAGTGTCAGGAATGTCTGTCATCCAGGGGCCTGGATGAGGCAAGAGTTTCACAAGATGGGGGCCATTTTTAGAATACCAGCACTTGGTGGGTTAGCCATCTTTGATAGAAAAGACTTTTTTTTTTTTTTTTTTTTTAAATAGGAGTGGGCACCACAGTGCACATCTGGAGGTCAGAGTAGCTTCTTGTCTCTTCCCTCCTTCTGCCATGTGATTTCTGAGGGCAAATTTAGGTTACCCAGTGACAAGCCCCTTCCCCACTTTGCTCTAGCAAAAGTATTTATAAAGTACAGGTTATTATTTAAATGCAAGCTGCAGCTCTTATGGCAAAAATCCCCTTTGTTCTGCCAATTGGAGGGATGACATGTCATTCAGTTGTTCACTGAACTCAGTTTCTTTTTCTTTTTCTTTTTTTCTTTCTTTCCTTCTTTTTGTTTTTTGAGACAGGGTTTCTCTGTCTCTTTGGTGCTATCCTAGAACTCACTTGTCACTTGGTAGACCAGAGATTAACACCTGGTATCTTCTTCAATTGCACTTCATGGTGGTTTTGTTGTTGTTTTGTTATGTTTTTTGAGGAATCGTACTGTGGAGTCTGTCATCTGAGTGCTGGAAACTGCATGTAGAACTTTGTGTATGCTAAGCAAGTATTCTATCACAAAGTCATGTTCTTAGCCTTTCCTCCCATTCTCCTGGAAAAAACTTTACTATATTACATTCAAGTACTATATAGAAATTCCCATGTATTTTATAACATTTGTTTGTATAACTTATTTAAACTTCTGTGTATCCAACTATGAATCCAACTATGTATTCTGGGTATTTTTCCCATCAATGTTTTGCCTGTTCATTTGTTTGTTTGTTTGAGACAGAATCCCACCCTGTAGTCTAGGATGGCCTACATCTCACTCTGCAGTCCATGCAGACCTCAGCATCACCTTCCCACATGCTAGGATTACAGATGTGAGTCACCACATCTGGTTCCTCCCTTCCTTGTGTTTCATTCAGTTTTGCAGCTTTAATATTCAGAGCACACTCTGTGGTTTATGCATTTTCCTGTTATGGTCATTATGGTAATTTTGGGAGGGTTTAGGGTACAGGCCCTGGGCTTTGACTGTTTTGGTTCATCTTGTGTAAAGATGTGGAAGTTTCCCTGGGAATGGGGTTCTGAGGGCCCAGCGTAAGTGTGTAGTTGATTAGATTAATTTCAACGTATCTTCTGAAGTGGCTGTCATAAGTTCCCCTGGAAGTGGGAGTATACACACCTCCATCACTATTCTCCAGAGTCAACCCTAGGTTTGCTCAGACCATCCAATTTGATGTGTGAAGTGATTGATACCTTACTGTGAGTCTACTACAGCTTTCCTTAGTTAGTAGGAAAGCCAAACTTTTACAAGTGTATTTGTTGTTCATATTATCTCTTTTTGGAGAATTCTGTGTTCCATTATCAAATCCCTACTAATATGAGAGACCCTGGGATTGATCCCCAGCACCATTCTAAATAAATAAGTAAATCAGTAATAAGAAACAACAAATATTTCCCTCTACTTAAAATATTCCTGAATTTCCTCAATCAGGCAGATAGGGTCTACTTTGAACAGTAATCATTTCTTTCCACAGCTTGGGCTTAGCTTATCTTTTATTTTATCTGTTATTTCAGACATTTGAATTCTTGTCTTAAGGGCAGAGAGTATGTTTGTCCTTTTTTTAAAATCTAATAACATTCTACCCCCACTTGTAAAATCTTGAAATATATTTCATCTGAGACAGGGTCTACAGTAGCCCGGCTGACCTTGACCTTGACCTCTTTGTGGGATCGTGGGATTACCCTGCCTCTACTTTCCCGCTGGAAAGCCCACTACAAACTGAGCTACATTCCCAGATGCAGTTGTTTTGTTTTTGTTTTTAAACAGGGTCTAAGTATCCCAGTCTGGCTTTGAACTCACAATGTAGCTGAGAAAGGCTTTGAACTTCTGATTCTCCTGCATCTACTTCACAAGTGCTAGGTTTATACCTATGTGCTAGGCTTACTTTAGTATTGATTTAAGTCTCTTTCAAAGGTACCAGCATCAGTCTGACTTTCTTTTTTTTTTTTTTTTTTTTTTTTTTTTTTTTTACTAATAAAAAAAATTGTATTTACTTAGAAGCATTCAGAATGTCAACAAAACAGCTGCAATTTTTTTGCAATTACAGAGTGGTATTCAGTTAACAGAACAATTATCTTCGTATAAGCTGCATCAGAGACAACTGAAGATGGAAAAAAAAAACCCAAAACAAAAAAAGAAAAAAAAAAAAAAAAAAAGAAAACCAAAAAAAAACTACCGTCCCCATATATAACTAATTTGTGCTGTGCACCAAGAACCTGCTTTAAATTTCCATGCCAATTTACAACCCCCAGACTGTACCAGGCAAGGTTAGTGGCTATTGAAAATACCACCAGGACAGGGCTATCTAAAGACACATTCGGTAGTGTGTTAACTATACAAAAAAAGACACTGTACAGTTTAAAAACAAATCTTACACAGCCTTACATTTCAATTTTTTTTTCTTTAAAAGGAGTGAGTTGTGTACAGGGGGGTTAAATGCTTTATAGACAAAAAAAAAAACAAAAACAAAAACAAAAACAAAACTGCGCTAGAACCAACTTATTCATCATCATCATCTTCTTCTTCATCTTCGTCTTCCTCTTCTTCCTCCTCTTCCTCATCCTCTTCATCCTCCTCATCATCTTCCTCTTCCTTCTTTTTCTTGCTCTTTTCTGCCTTGACCACCCCCTTTTTCACTGCATCGGGTTTCCCTTTAGCTCTGTACGCAGCAATATCCTTTTCATACTTCTCCTTCAGCTTGGCAGCCTTCTTTTCATAGGGCTGCTTGTCATCTGCAGCAGTGTTGTTCCACATCTCTCCCAGTTTCTTTGCAACATCACCAATGGATAAGCCTGGGTGTTCTCCTTTGATTTTTGGGCGATACTCAGAACAGAACAAGAAGAAGGCCGAAGGAGGCCTCTTGGGTGCATTGGGGTCCTTGAACTTTTTTTTGGTCTCCCCTTTGGGGGGGGATGTAGGTTTTCATTTCTCTTTCATAACGAGCCTTGTCCGCCTTTGCCATGTCTTCAAATTTCCCCTTTTCTTTAGCAGACATGGTCTTCCACCTTTCTGAGCATTTCTTGGAGAACTCTGAGAAGTTGACAGAAGCATCCGGATGCTTCTTCTTGTGTTCCTCCCGGCAAGTTTGCACAAAGAATGCATATGAGGACATTTTGCCTCTCGGCTTTTTAGGATCTCCTTTGCCCATGTTCAGTTGATTTTCGTCCGCGAGGCACAGAGTCGCCCAGTGCCCGTCCGGCTCGCGCTTGCCCCGGCGCTGTCTCTATGGAGCTCAATGTACTGCCCAGTCTGACTTTCTGACTCCTGCCTTACATCATGGATTCTTGGTTTACACTGAAGTCCCAGTGCTAATGTTTGCTTCCTCGTTCTACATTCAGGATGGCAGGTAGCATTTTAGTTGCTCATCAGATTTTTTTTTATGCTAAAAAAATTAAATTTTTATTTATTTGTTTGCTCGTGTGTGTGTGTGTGTGTGTGTGTGTGTGTATGTGTCTGTGTGTCTGCATTCCCACATATGCACCCAATTGCATACCCTTATGAGTATATGCCACAGCATGCATGTGGCAATCAGAGTACGATTCATGATGTGGGTCCTGGGGATGGAATTCAGGTGGTCAGGCTTGTTGACAAGTGAGTTTACCCATAAGACTTCTCAAAAAAAAAAAAAAAAAAAAAAAAAAAAAAGACTTCTCACCAGCCTCCTATGACCTTATGATTCTTTTTCTTTTCTTTGTTTTGTTTGTTTGTTTGTTTGTTTGTTTGTTTTTGAGACACAGTTTCTCTGTGTAGCCATGGGCTTGTCCTGAAATTCACTCTGTTGACCAGGCTGCCCTTGAGACTCTGCCTCCTGAGTGCTGGGATTAAAGGCGTGTGCCACCCCTTTCAGCCCTTATGAGATTCTTTAAGAGACAAGCTAAGGCTCCTGAAGCCAGAAGTTTGTTTTTCTTTACTGAGCAGGGATTTTGCCCTAAATCTGGTATTTGTGTCTGGGTAAATTAAGCTCAACTGAAGAAAACACCTTAACATCGGCTCTCGACCCCCAGAATACCCTGTCCTGACCAAGTCATGGGCTCATCAGACTCCATGCTGTGGCTCCTTGATTTATCAACCTTAACTAAATAAAGGCTCATTATTCACCTATCACCTATAGGCCCAGGCCAGGCTGCTAGAGACACAGGTATGAATGTAACAGTTCTCCTGAGGGACATAAACTGGCTGGTAAAGACAGAGTTACAGTTAAAAACATTTTTTTTTTTTTTTTTTTTTTTTTTTTTTTAAAACTGGGCAGTTGTGTCACACACCTTAAATCCCAGGACTTCAGAGGCAGAGGCAGGGAACTCTGTGAGTTCCAGGCCAAACTGGTCTACAGAGTGAGTGCCTGACAGACAGAGGAACCCTGTCTTCAAAACAAAACAAACAACAAAAAAACCATTTTTTTTTTTTTTTGAAGATTTAATTTTAGCAAAGCACAATGTCTCACACCTTTAATCCCAGCACTCCAGAGGGAGAGGCAGCCTGGTCTACATAGTGAGTTCTAGGCCTGCCAAGGCTACATAGTAATACACTGTCTGTCTCAAAAATAATTAAATTTTTTTATGTATGAGTGTTTTTCTTGCGTGCTCTGTGTGTGTGTGTGTGTGTGTGTGTGTGTGTGTGTGTGTGTGTGTCTGATCCTGATCCTCTCAAAGGTAGAAGACTGCACCTCTTGAGACTGGTTATAGATGGTTGTGAGCCACCATATGGGTGCTGGGAACCAAACCTGGGTCCTCTGCAAGAGCAGCCAGTGCATTTAACCATTGAGCCATCTCCCTGAGCCCTCATAGACAGTCTTCTGTAAGCCTCAACACAATATAGAGTAGAGGATGACCTGGATTCCTGACCCTCCTGCTTCCCCCTTGAGGTTACAGGTATGTGTTAGTAGACATAGTTGATACGGTCCATGCTGGGCATCAAACCCAGGGACTCCTGCTCAGTAGGCAGGCACTTGACCAGCTGAGCTACATCCTTGACCCTGACACACAGTTTTAATAGCAAGAAGGAAAAGGAATCCAGAGAAGGACTATCATGAGAGATAAGGCAGTCTTCCTGATCCAGTGGGTACTTGAAAGAATACAAATGTCTGGAGGCTCAGGAATATTTTCCTCCTCTCAACTGTTTTGGGAAAGAGGTCTGAAAGAGGGTCTTGTGTAACCTAGGTTGATTTTGAACTTGCTATGTAGCTGGGGATGACCTTGAACTCTTGATTCTTCTTCCTCTACCCTAAATGCTCATATTTTAGTAGATGCCATCATGACAATTATTTTGTTCTATTTTTTTCAAGACAGGGTTTCTCTGTATAGCCCTGGTTGTCCTGAAACTCGCTCTGTAGATCAGGCTGGCCTGGAACTCACAGAGATCCACCTGTCCCTACCTCCCAAGGGCTGGGATTAAAGATGTGGGCTACCACCACCTGGCTTATTTAGCTTTTGAAGAGTTTTAAGTGTTATTATTACTGTGTGTGCCCTGGAAGATGTGGGGGGTCAGAGGACAACTTTGTAGAACTCTCCTTGCACCTTCCATGGGTTCCACAGATGGAACTCCAGTCGTCAGACTTGCAGAGCAACTGTTTTATACCCTCTGTGCCATTCCAACGGAATGGTTTCTGTTGTTTTCTCACTCAAGGTCTGTGCTGGTTAATTTATTGCCGATTGACACAAATTAGAGTCACTTGGGAAGAGGAAAACTCAGTTGAGAAACTGCCTCCATCAGACTGGCCTGTAGTCTGTGGGATATTTTCTTGATTAATGATTGATGTGGGAGATAAGCAAGCTAAGGAGAACAATTCAGTCAGCAGCACTCCTCCATGGTTTCTGCCTGTTGGCTCCTGCCCTGGCTCCGGCTTGGCTCCTTTTGAAGATGAACTACAACCCATAAGATGAAATAAACCCTTTTCTTTCCAAGTTAGTTTTGGTCAATGTGGTTTCCTTTTGTTGTTATTATTACTTTACTTTTTATTTTTTAAAGTGTGTGTGTGTGTGTGTGTGTGTGTGTGAACTTTAGTGCAATTGCCCATGGAGGTCAGAGGAGTAGGACTTTGCTAGAGCTGGGGTTATCACTGCAGTTGTGAGCTAGTCTATATGAGTAGGTGCTGGGAATTGAACTTGGGTTCTTTGCAGCAGCAGTCTGCTGGGCAATTTTTTCATCCACTTGGTCAATGTTTTGTCATAGCAACAGGAAGGTAACTAGGACAGGGTCTCATGTAGCCCTGCCTAATTTTGAACTTGCTATGTAGTTGAGGCTGGGTTTGAACTTCTGATTCTTTTATGTCTACTTCTAAAGCACTGGGACAGTAGTTCTCAACCTGTGAGTCTAGACCCCTTTATCAAATTTCAATTTCCATTACTATACACAACAGTAGCAAAATTACAGTTATGAAGTAGCAATGAAATAACTTCATGGAACTGTATTAAAGGTCTCAGCATTAGGAAGGTGAGAACCACTTTGACTGGGATTATAGGCATGTGTTGCTATGTTCAGTAGCGTACCTAGTTTAGTCATCCAATCTCAGTCTTAATGAGAACAAGAAGTAACAAAGGAAGAAAACATTCTAGCTCTTCTCACCCAAATATTCCCCATCTCCCAGCAGCCAGTGGTACCTAAAAAGAGAGGAGGAAAAGAGAGGAGGCCACAGTCTCTCAGGAGGAGGACATCTTTCCAAACAGAGTCCACCTGAACTTTGTGAAGTATCATGTGGTTTCTGCTCTTGGAGAAGACCAACTGTAAGAGAGCCAGGTAGACAGCAGGGCCGCAGCCACATGCACATACCTGCATGCATCCCCTTGTCTTCAAGACTTTGTTGACACTGCTTCCCTAATTCTGCTCTGTGTCTTCCCTGGAAGCCTTATTTAAACAACACTTCTAGGAAGGCATAGCACAAACTGATTTTACCAAGGTGTGGTGGTGTACACCTAAAATCTAGCACTCAGGAGGCAGAGGCAGGAGGATTGCCACAAGTTTGAGATCAGTTTGGTCTACATAGAGAGTTCTAGGCCAGCCAGGGCTACACAGCCAGACCCTGTCTCAAACAAATAAACCAACAAACCCAAAGTACACAATAAAAGCAGATTTGTGAGATGGCTCAGCAGGTAAGGCTGCATGTCACCAAGTCTGACAGCCTGAGTTCTGTTCCTAGGACCCATATGGTGAGAGCAGAGAATTGATTGGCTCCCTAAAGTTGTCGGGATTAAAGCATGCACCTGCATATCTCGTTGTGACCATCATATTCTTTGTTGGTGCCTCACAGATCTGTCAACAGGACCCTGTAAAGCGGTGGCTGCCTGGAAGTAGTGTTTGAATAGAGAATAGAGCTCACCCTTGGAGGCTCTGGGCCAAGTGTAGTTTGAATCCTGGCAATGTCTCTAACAAGATGTATAATCTTCTGAAAATGAGTTAATCTTGTCAGATCTCAGTCCCTTGAGTTTCAGAATTCTGTACACACACACACAAAGTAAGCCAACAAAGTGTTTTTAAAACTGCAATGATGTAGACGGGTGTTGGTGGTGCACGCCTTTAGTCCCAGCACTTGGGAGGCAGAGGCAGGTAGATCTCTGTGAGTTTGAAGCCAGCCTGGTCTACAGAGCTAGTTCCAGGACAGGCTCCAAAGCAATACAGAGAAACCCTGTCTTGGAAAAAAAATGAAATGATGCATATCAAATACTCATAAGAGGACCTAAGTGGCCGGGGATGTAGTTCAGTGGTACAGTGCATGCTTGATATGTATGAGATCCTGGATTTAATGGTTGGGATTGCCAGAACAATAGAGTTTAACAGAAAAAAAATTGCATTTAGGAGCAACACACCTCAAGCTAGCTCTTGATACTCATAACTTATCATCATCCCTGGAGACTGGCCGGGGCAGCCTTGTCTCAGAGGCTAATCTTCATTGAACTGTGCTATCTCTGGCCCTAATTACTTCCCTTTTCTCCACACTTTGAGTGTCAGGGTTCCCTAGAGAACAGAACCAGTAGAACAGATGTATATTTCGAAGAGAGCATATTAGATTGTTTTGTGTGATACTGGCTCCTCAGTCCAATGACTGAAGACACAGTAGTGGCTCAGTCTACACTGCTGGATGCTTCAGCCATCCCAGTGTGGCACTAACTCTGGGAGTCTTCAGTCTGCGTTGCAAGGTTTGAGGTAGCTGTATGCTGGTGCCTGGAAAGGATGGCGGCAATGGCAACAAGAGCAATGGAGACCAAAGGATCAACACTTTTCCTAGGACCTCCTTATCTACTCCAGGGGAGGGC